AGTCCCAAAAGGCGTAAGGGATTTAACGAAGGTCATTTGGCTGGGAAGGGGCAGAGCCAAGAGCAGAACACAGGATGCAGAACTGATGTCTGGGGCTCTTTTGGGGCACAACATGATAATGTGTCTTTCACCTGATAGTCCACTAGCTTAGGCTCAGCTAAATACTTTTTTTGTGGAATCCATTGTACTGAATACCAAGAGTTGCCTACCAACAAGGTGAGGCCATCGATTGTGGTTACCAAGGCCATTACTTGTAACTGAGAAGTAAAATCAGATGTTGTGTAGCAAGCACGTCTCAGTCAGAATCCAGCTGCAAGAAGTAGAGACCACCCTAGGGATTTTATGCGGAATGTTACTTAATACAAGGAATCAGGTGCTTCGGAAATTGGTGGAATGACCAGAAGACTGTGCTGTAGGCTAGATCTCCAAGAATGATGCCCAGAACCATGTGGAACTGACCCACCGGGGAAGTTTTCACGTCTGTCCCAACCAGGAAGGTGGAAAATCAAGAGAATGCCCCTGGAACTATTGGGTCCAAGAAAATGTCAGCATGGATAAGATCCAGAATCAAGTAGCTGGTATCCAGAAGTTACTGGTACTCTCACCATACACAAATCTGGAGCTTGGACACTGGACGTAGGTTATGACTCAGTGATCCCACCTAACCTTTTCTAGCCCAGAGAAACAGCTGCACATGTGCACAAGTGGGTATGTATGAGGATTTGATTTCAGATCATGTGTAGCAGTGCAATACTTAGAAGTACAATCATATTCATCACCAGGATAATGACTGAATAAACTATGGAAAAGCCTCCCTAGAGAATTAAACATAAAAGTTAAAAAAAAAAAAAGGATGATCTGTACTGTCATTGAAGAATCTTGAGGACATACTGTAGAAAGTTTTCTGGGTGCATAATTCAGCTGCTGGAATGATTGAGAGATAATCCCATATGAACAAGAAATGGTCTGCACCAAATTTCTAGGCTTTTGACGCCCTCAGACAGTTGAAGGGTATAAAAAGAGGTCAGAGTGATGAGAAAGGGTATTCCTGAGATGTCTTCGGGAAAGATTTCCAGGAGAGGGGAGAATTCCTGTTACATTCTATGCAGGTCTAATGAGGGAAAACCTGGTAAAGTTGAGGAGGGGACAGCATGGATGGGGCCGGACTCCTCCCCAGGAAATCCAAAGGGTGGACAATGGCTGGCTTAGTGCTTTGTGTGGGAGCCAGAGAGCACCACTGTGCTGAGAAAGGCCGCCTCTCCCAGCACGCAAGACGTAGCAGATGGGTAAGGTCTTCTTTGGGCCAGGGCAGCCATGCGGGCCTGACACCCACAGTTAGGTGGCCTCCTAGGAACCACAGTTGGAGCAGGCATCTCAGGGGATTGAACACATTTGCAGCAGAAGGGGAGCATCCCCAGGTTGAGGGTTAGGACTTCAACATATTTGGGGGTGCGTGGGGCAGAATTTAAACTACAACACAAGGAAATTGACTAAAGCCATGAATAATCTGTTTTAGATCAACCAGGGAAAGAGCCCAAGATGTCCCAGCAGGTGAAAGCTGTCTAATCCTTCCCCCCATTCTCACTTCCTTTCTTCTGCCTTGACCTTGGGAAGCAACAGCTAACAGTTAACTAACAGGGGGTAGGGGAGGAGGTGGGCAGCAAGGAGCAGGACACATCTTTCCCCAAAAGCAGACCGTCACTACCTAACTACAAGCTCTAGTGGGGAAAAGAGTTCCTATCTTTGAATGAAGATTAAAGTGTTGATTGATATCTTGGACTGCACATTTTTTTTTTGAAACTTACTATTATGGAAACTTTCAAGCATACGAAAAGTAGAGAGAATAGAATAATGAATTCCCTATGTACCCATTGCCCAAATTCAACGATTATCAACTCATGGCCAGTATTTTTTTTTTTTAATCTACACCTTCCCAAGCTCCCCCTTCCCCAGATTATTTTAAAGCAATTCCCAGATGTTGTAGAATTCCATCCAGAGATATTTCAACATGTATCTCTGGAAAATAAAAACTTTTCTTAAAAATAAAACATAACCACCATATCATTATCATATTCTCAAAATTTAAAAAGAATCCCTTAATATCAATTATTTACTAAATGTTCAGCTTTCTCCATTTGTTGTATAAAAATTTTCACATACTTTCTTTATTCACCTGCGTAGCCAAAAAAGATCTATACATTGCAATGAGTTGCTATTTCTTCTAAGTCACTTTTAATCTATAGGTTTCTCTCTCCTCCCTGCCTTCTTTCTTCCTTACAATTTTTTGTAAAGTAACTGAGTCTTTGTCCTACAGCGTTTCCTGTGGCCTGATTTTTGCTGCTCACATCCCCATGGTGTTATTTACCATGTTTTTCTGTCTCCTGTATTTTCTGTAAATTGGAAGTTGGATTTAGAGCTGTGGTTCTCAAAGGTAGCCCATGGGGATCATCCGGGAGATTTTAAAAATCCTGAAGCCCAAGAGAGTTCCAGGCCAACTGCATCAAAGACTCTGGAGGTGAAACAGAGGCACAGGGATTTTTAAAAACTTCTCAGATGATCCCACTATGCAGCCAATAATGAAAATCAGTTCTCTAGAGTTCTACTCATATTTAGCTTCAATATTTCCCCTCTTTGACAGGAGATGTTTGTTGTATACTTTACACTGGATATTTGAAATTTCCAAAGTGACCTTTTGTTTTACAACACCGTGAATGTAGAAGTGTCTATGACCTCGGACTGATCAGAAGAGTCTTGAGAATGGCCCTGTTTTTCATCCAGCAGCAAGCAATGATTACCCCCACTGAACAAATTCTAAAGGGACAACAGGAGGAAAAATAAAGGATGTTGGATCATATCACAAATTGTCCTTGAGGAATGAGCCAGTCACATGTAACTGGATAAGAAGATATCTAGGAGGGCACACACAAAACTCACAGCCAAGGTTACCTCTGGGAAGTGACCGAATTTGGTGTGGCCGCAGAGTATTTGTGTATGTGTCCATGACAGATTTTAGTCTTATCCCCAACGTTTAAATTTTAGATTGAAAGTAAAATCATGTGTTAATTGTGTAAGCCAAGTTCATGAAAAGGGAAACGATAGTGGATTTTTTAACATTAAAATTTCATACTTTTCCATTATAAAAGTATTATATTTCGGGAGGGATGGGGTGGCTGGGTGATAGACATTGGGGAGGGTATGTGCTATGGTGAGCGCTGTGAATTGTGCAAGACTGTTGAATCACAGATCTGTACCTCTGAAACAAATAATGCAATATATGTTAAGAAAAAAAAGAAGAAGAAGAGAGCAGGAGGGGAAGAATGAAAGGGGGATATCGGAGGGAGAGACGAACCATGAGAGACTATGGACTCTGAGAAACAAACTGAGGGTTGGGGGGTTGGGGGATGGGTTAGCCTGGTGATGGGTATTAAAGAGGGCACGTTCTGCGTGGAGCCCTGGGTGTTATGCACAAACAATGAATCATGGAACACTACATCAAAAACTAATGATGTATGGTGATTAACATAACAATAAAAAATTTTTTTAAAGTATTGTATTTCCACTAGAGAAAAAATTTTAAATAAAGGAAGAAGAAAAGTAAACTATAAACTATAACTTCCCCACTCAGACTTATTTTTATGTATTTTCCAAAATTAGTTTGTTATGGACAAAATGTCTTCCCTTGATTTTTAAACTTCCTCCCATTGGCCTTGACATAGCCACCAGATGCCCATCTATTAATGTTTTTTTTCTGCTTGAAAATTTTCATATTTTTTAAATTATAAATAAATTACATATTATAATAATTTATATTTATCCTAAGCACTCTATCAGCCATTATTCTCACAAAAAGTTGATAATGTGAATTCTTTTATTGTTCTCATTTTAGAGATGATAAGGGGGTTAGAGGAGATAAAAACTTTCCCAAACATGTGGTGATGTCTAATCTTTTCTTAGCTAAGAGGCTGGGATGAAGCTGGCTAAGAGAGTGTCTCCTCTGTGAAGCTGCAAATATTTCAAATTCAAGAAATCCCTACAAAGTCCTCAATTAAGCAGTGAGCCAATGGTGATAAATCAGAGAAATGGGAGAGCTCAGAAACTGATCTGGAAGCCACAGAACAGAGCCAGGGAATCTGCAAACTACAGAGACACAAGCAGGGATGAATGCATGGAAGGGGTGGAGGTTTCCAGGCTGACACCTGGGGGAGTGGTGCCACTCATGTCTATATTTAGTTTGCTGAGACGGGTCAGGTATGGGTGGGCAGTCAGGATCTGGGACCAACTCGGTTCGTGTACAGCTTAATACAGAATGTCAAGCCAATGCATCCTTGATTTTCTTGAGTCACTGATGCCACAGAGTTGTAGGGCATTGACTGGTCTGCCCTCCTCACCCCACCCCCTGCCTACTGTCCCCAGAAATAGCCAGCACAATTGGTTGTAAGGGTCAACACCTTTACTTTTCCTGGGTGCTCTGGAACAAATAAAGCCATTGCCTCCTGCCACTGTAAAGAGTTGTTCTTGATGGGGTAGTCATGGCCTCTGACCTACGGATTTGTGAATCTAAGGAGGGATTTATTTTATTTAGCTGAGTTTGGAAGAAATGCTCCTAACTGCATATTGCATCATTATCCCATGTCTCTATTTCTCAATTATATTTGCTTTACAATTAACCCCTGAAAAAATAAAGTCAAATTGAAAGATGTAGCAACATGGCTTTCTACAACACAGAAAAAAATCTTAAAGATATTTGAAGAGACAAATGTGTTATTTATTCAACTATAGTTTTGTTTTTTTAATGTGACTTTTTTTTTGGTAATAGACAGCAGCCAGACAACCTAAGAGCCTTTTTAACGAGTTTTTCTTGGTATTGACAGAAAAATCTATTTTGTGCAAGTGGCAGCAGAGGGCGCTCTTCCTACAGATTAGTTTCTATCAGACCTTTTCTTCCTAAAGGAAAACTGTTAAAAATGTCTGTATGTTGCTCGACCGCTGTGCGCGAGCCAAGTGTCCCCGCGGCGGGCAGCAGCGGCGGCGTCGGTGGAACGCGCAGGGGGCGGAGGGAGTCCGCGGCGGCGGCGGCTGCAGTAAAGAAATGGCGGAGACCGTGGCGGACACCCGGCGGCTGATCACCAAGCCGCAGAACCTGAATGATGCCTACGGGCCGCCCAGCAACTTCCTCGAGATCGATGTGAGCAGCCCGCAGACGGTGGGGGTTGGCCGGGGCCGCTTCACCACCTACGAAATCAGGGTCAAGACAAATCTGCCTATTTTCAAGCTGAAGGAATCTACTGTTAGAAGAAGATACAGTGACTTTGAATGGCTGCGAAGTGAATTAGAAAGAGAGAGCAAGGTTGCAGTCCCCCCGCTCCCTGGAAAAGCGTTTTTGCGTCAGCTTCCTTTTAGAGGAGATGAAGGAATATTTGATGACAATTTTATTGAAGAAAGGAAGCAAGGGCTGGAGCAGTTTATAAACAAGGTCGCTGGTCATCCTCTGGCACAGAATGAACGTTGTCTTCACATGTTTTTACAGGACGAAATTATAGATAAAAGCTATACTCCATCTAAAATAAGACATGCCTGAAATTTGGTGAGAAGGGGCAAAACAAAAAAACAACAAAAAAAAAACCTTTCCGTGACTATTATTCATATGCACCAGTGAAGAAGTTCTAACTAACTTTTAGCATGCTGCACGGAAACTGGTATAACATGCCTTCAGTATACTAACATTCATATGCTCGGTTTTGTTTTGTTTTGGCAGTTGACAAGAAGTTAATTTGCTTTAGTGAAAATCCCTCATTCCAGCCTTTCTATATAAATAGCTCTTCCTTGCTGTTTTATTGTGGTACCCACTATCGCCTCACAGACCTGTTACTCCAGTATAACCCGCAGTGTCCTAACTAAAGTTACTGACTTGGTCTTACCTGCTTTTTTGTGTCCGGTTTTTGTGTCCGGTTTGCTTCTTGAATCTGATTAACTAGAATATTTCTCTTACTCCTTTTTAATATGTGATGTCCCTTGACCTAATTTATGTGTAGAAGCACTACACCATTGGTTTCCAGTCCCCTATGTGTAAGATACACACTTGTGTGCAGAAAGTCTCTCTCTTCAGGCTTGTAATACCTTTCACGTGGAAGATCAATGAGGGAAATCTTTATATTCTGTATAAAAACAAAATCAAATTTATATACTAAAATCATTTGTCTAAAAATTTAAGTTGTTTTCAAATAAAAATAAAAAAGCATTTCTGATGCGCACTGAAAAAAAGATGTCTGTATGTTAATGTTTATGGTTCCTCCTAAATATAGCACATATAATTGTATTTATATGTATATGTATAATATGTGTTTATGTGTTTATATAAAGATATATTTTTATAAATACATTTTAATATGTAAATAAATGTATTTGTGTATTTCAATTATGTATAGATATGTTTAGAAAGAGCCATAAAAGTAACATACACAAATACAGATAGATAAATAGATTATTTTTATGGTTTCTCCCCATCCATTAATACTAAAACCACATGTGATTATGTTCCCTTAAGTAATTACCACTTATTTCTCCTTAGGCATGCTAACTTCCCATTTCACAGTGGGAACTCAATCTTGAGCACAGAAAATTGGGACTTCAGGGTATTGCCCTCTCATCCTCCAGCTTATGTACTTTTTCTTAGGGTCCTCTCTGGAGAACCAGAAGCCGTTTTTGGAGCACATCCAAAGAAAAAGGAGGCACGTTTAGTTTCTCTTGTGGTGGCTTTTGTTATGCTGTGCTGTGAATGGCCTGCAAACTGCTCCAACACCCCTTCCTTTCTCTTTTCTTTATCTCCCCTCCTCTCCCATATACCTGCTCCTCCAAGCCTTTCTTCACGATTACATGCTTCTATCATTGTCCTCCATCTCCAAAGCCATAGGCATCACTGTCTAAGCTACCCACTTGTAGCCAGTCTCCAGGGTGGCCCCAGGGATCCCTGCCTACTTTGTATGTATAACCTTAGTGCCCTCCGGCATCCAGCAGAGCTGATCTTCGTACCCTCTAGGCTATTGTGGGAATGGTGGTGGGTGACTTGCACAGTTAAGGTCACAAAAGACACGTGGCTTCCACCTCACCGTGTCTTGGCTCATGGAGCTAGCCGCCATGCTCTGAGAGGCTCATGTAGTCCCATGGAGGGTCCTTGTTTCAAGGAACTGAGCTCTCCTGCCAACAGCCCGCAGGGGCTTAGCCACGGGAGCGAGCCACCTTGGAAAGCAAATCCTCCAGCCCTAATAAAGCCTTCAGAAGATGCAACCCTGGTGGCCATTTGACTACAGCCTCACCAGAAACCCTGGGCCAAAACCATCTAAGTCACTTCCGAATTCCTGCCCCATGGGAAATGTGAGATAATAAATGCATATTGTTTTAAGATGCTAGATTGGGGGTAATTTGTTATGCAGCCATAGAAACAAATACTCCTCTCCTTGTGCCTGATGACATTTCAGCACTTCTGGCTTGTGATTTCACATACTGGTGGTGTATGCTCTGCAAAGGCTCATCACTGATTTCAGGATAAAACCCAAATCCCTGCCTGACATGGCCGGAGATTGAAAGAGGACTTCAACCACCTGCAATTTGACCTCAGTCTGTACTTTCGAACTGATTAAATTCTTCTTTCTAGCTTATCTGGATGTACCCAAGAACCTTTGCCCCACATTTTCCTTATACAAACCTGGAAATACTTTCAGCACTTTGGAGACAGTCTTTAAGACGCTAATCCGCTGACTGCCCGTGTCGGCCTCACTGAAATTAATTCCTTTTTGGTTTCACCACCACTCATTGCTCTGCCTTTGGATTTTGTCAGCAGTGAGTGGCTGAACCTGGTCTGTCTGGGACCCCAGGGCCAGCTGCTCTTACATCCCTGTGTCCTGGCTACAAGATCTTCTACAATCTGGTTCCTGCATGCCTCCCAGCCTCACCCTCTCTTCCTTCCCTCCCCCCCACCCCAGGGACCGCTACACAGAAACACCTTCATCTCCCTACATGTGGATGGATGCCATTGACAGGTAAAATACAGATTGCCCAGCTAAATTTGAATTTTAGATGAACAACAAATGATTTTTCTTGTTCTACCCTATTTGGGACATACTTACACTACAAATATTGCATGGCACATACTTATTCTAAAGGGTTCTTCACTGTTTATCTGAAATTCAAATTAAATGGGTGGGGCATTCTGTTTTTTTGGTTGCTAAATCTGGCAACCCTATAGATGTGAAATGCTTTCTCTCAGCTCCTGCCTGGATCACTGCACCTCCCTCTAACTTGTTGTCCTGCAAGACTCTCAGCCCAGACATCCATGCCTCTAGAAAGCCTATGCTGACGGCCTCCACCATGCACACACCCAGAATGGGTTAGATGTGCCTGCTGCAGGCCCCCGCCGCACCCTGTCATCCCTCTCACACACCACACACATTACAGTTATTCATTTTCCTCCAGCGCTAGACTGAACTTCTGGAGGTCAGGCACTGTCTTACTCACCGTGTAGCCTCAGGGGCAAAAACATAAAACGATCACAACTTACAATCGTCAAACTCTTCCAGTAACCTAGTCACTATTCGGAGATATTTGCATATATTCACTCATGAAATCCTCACATCAACCTGAAGGAGGTACTACTAATATCCCTTTTGCTTTTATCGGTGAGGCAGCTGAAACATGAAGAGGTTCTGCAACTTCCCCCAAGTTGCCCAGTACTGGCAGGGAGGCTGGAGTTCAAGCCCAGGAGTCCGATTCCCGATGAGGATCCAGCGCCCCTCGTGCTGAGCTAGTAGTGGTGTCTCTCTGCAGGGTTCAATGAGTGGGGCTATTTTTGGATGCATACAAGAACTAGTTCTCTAGCTAAGTGTTTTCAAATTAGATAATTTTCTTCAAACAGGGACCGTGTTAAACTTGGTCCTCTCCGTCTCTACCCTTCCTTGCTCTCTCTCCAGCCACCATCACCTAGCACAAAGCGTGGTGCTGTCCTCACCGGCCAATAGCAATGAATCCTTCAGGTCTATTTTTCCCTCTTCCTGTCCTGACCACAAATTGAGCATGCCAGTGGGCGCCGCATTCCCTAAGGAGGAATGGACACAGCCTGTGCCTTAGGGCTAGGAGCTGACAGAGCTCTGTGGTTAACAGCAAGAGTCCTAGAATGAAGCTTCCTGAGTTCCACCCCGGCTCTCCTGCTTATTAGTTCGGTGGATTTGGATGAGGTCCTGAGACTTCGATTCTTCATGTTCGAAATGGAAATAATGATAGTTTTCAATTCATAGGGTGTTGTTGGGGATTAAATGAGATTAAAAGGGACAAAATGTGCAATACCTGGGTTATAGCATGTATTCAATGAATGTCAGCTTTTACAACTGCAATTACTATTCCACTTATCCCAGTGATAAGCATATGTAGGCCTGGCGCCCTGTGAATTTTTGTGACTTCCTCCTCCCTTTTCCCCTGTGCAAAATTTCAGACAGGGATTAGAGGGGTGGGTTTGCAGTGATATCCTCCAGGATTTCAAGGCCCAGCCTTCGAGATCTAAATTAAGAACACAAAATCAGAGAAGGAAAGCTAGCCCCACAGCCCAGAGGGAGCTAGACTGAAGCAAGAATATCCCCACTGGCCCTCACTTCCTGTCCCACTGTGCAGAACGGGGTGGCTGGTCTCGGACTGAGGTCAAGAAGCAGCTTTGCTTCTGGATGGCTACCCCAGGAGAAGGCATGGTGCGCTCCAGGAAATGATGCACGCTCACTCTCAGGCTCTGCAGCCATGGAACCTGCACATCTCCAAGGCACCTGTCTGAAGGAACACTCTCTACTTCCTGAGTGGCCAGAAACACACAAGAATCTCTGTGTCTTTTCGAGGAGAGGTCTAAGCTCACTTAACTATAGGGGTGACCATGATGAAATTGATGGCTGACATTTTTGAGCACTTACTACACACAGGTCACCGTGCTCATGGCCTTATACGTTACTTCACTTATTTCCTACACCAATACCATCAGGTTTGGTACCGACGTTATACTTATTTTACAGAAAAGAAAATGAATTAATTTGCCCAAGTCATGCAGCAAGTAAGAGAAGAACCAGATTTTTAATTCCGTCTATGGAAATAGACTCTTCTGCTGCTCTCATCCTTATGGCTCCAGGGCTTCTGTTATGGGGCAAGGTCAACACTTCCAGTAGATCCTTATGATATAATACACTTAGAGCAGTGTTTCTGACTGCGCATTAGAATCACCTGGAAAGCCGACTCACTGGAGCCTCCCCAAACCAAATGAATTAAATTTTCTGGATGGTAGGACCAATCATTGGATGTTTTATAAGATTTCCCCAGATAAATCCAGTGGGCAGCCAGAGTTAAGAACCAGTCTCCTGAGGGACATTCGTAATGGATAGATTAAGCTTTAAAAAGAAATTCCTAAGACTCTCATATCAGAAATCTATCTGGAACAGTGTTTGCTCCTCCCTCTCCAAGGAACAATCTGCACAAATTGGAGGTAAGGACAGCTCATGGAAGGTTTCAGAAGTTTTTGTTATTCATCTATGATGCCTGCACTATAAGATTGGTTCACTTTAATGTACAA